TTGTGCCCATAAGTATGTACAGTTATTATATGTCAATAAAAAAATTTAAAAATAGACACTGGAAGCAAAAAAAATTTCACACATCAAGAAGATAAATTATAAATATAGGTATTTATCAACATTGTCTCAAGTTTTATAGACTGATGGTACCTTGGATTAGTGACAAAATTAAGGGGCCAGAATTAACTAGGATTAAAATACTAGTAAAATTGTATATTTAGCATATTCCTCTTATATTTAAGAGGAGCCAGAAAAGAGTAGCAGGAACAGGGGCAGCCATGGAAAGAAGGGGGATAATGTATTCCTTGCCAGATGTTGACATTTGACTAGCTGTGGGGAAAGTGGGTTATTCTAAGACAATACTCGGATTTCAGGCTTTGAGGACTAGGAAAAAGCTATTGCCATTAAGTAGAATTTCCTTTTTTTTTTTAAATCCAAAAGGTAAAATGGCTTTAAAGCCATGACAATGACACAGGTGTCAAATGTAGGGTCAGAGTTAAAGAATCTGAGAGTTCAAGTTCTTCCAACTAAACCTTCATTATACATGTGAAAAGAGAGGAACCCAAGGAGTTTAGGAGACTTGTCCAAGGCTACCTAATAAAGCCAGTAAGTGAACCCAGGCTGGACGGATTTGTCATGAAGATGGGATTTAAAAAAACAGCCATCAAGATCAGAACTGCAGTGGGGATTGGGAGCTCATGAAGGAGTGGGGGTGCCTGAAGACAGGGGGATGGATGGGATCTCAGGGGAACAAAGCACAGGGGAAGAAAGGCAGATAACCGTGTCCTTGGCCAATAATAACAACAGCTAATACTGGGTGTTCAGCCTGGGTCAGGCACTGTTCTACAAATAGAAGGGTGGCATAGGACACTTAATGCTCTAAATACCTTTAGGGTAGGTAACTCTAGTATCCCTATCTCACAGAAGAAGAACTAAAGCAGAGAGCAGAGACGTGGTTTGACGGAGATCACCCAGAAGCCGGATGCAGCCTCCTGCAACTGCACCCCACCCAACGCCTTGATCTGAGGGCACAGGGAGAAACCAGACTGGGTGAAACAGTCATAAATGGATGATTCAAGAGAAAAGAGGAGATGCCAGTGTTGTAGAAGATGAAGGACGACAGCGGGAGTGTAGTGAGAACTTTGAGCCCCATCTTTGAGCCCCACCAGGGCCCAGTACTGATCCTTCTTCCTTTTATTCTATGAGGTTCACCTGAGGACCCGCCTCTCCACGCTGTCAGGCCTAGCCAGAAGCACGTCTCCTCAAGAATTCCAGGTCTGTGGCCCTTCCTAGGATTCTACTCATCTCATAGCAATGTTTGGTAAATCTGTGAGGACTGGCTAGGGTGTATGAAAAGGCACGTGGGATACGTGGCTTAAGTGGAAGCCTGGAAGTACTGTCTCCTTGAGTCCATCTTTTCTTTCTTTTTTCCCCATGGTCCTGGGTATTGAACCTCAGGAGGCAACCACTCTACCTACTGAGCTATATCCCTAGCCCTTTAATCTATCTTAAAGTAACTTGAAAGGGGTCATCATCAGGAAGATTTGCTACAGCATCAATTCCCAACTTCTTGTATCTGTCACCAGTTGGCAAAATCTTCTGAGGATATCCTAGCCCTCTCGTGTGTACAAAGATTTGATGGCATACATCTTCCACTATTAAAAGGAGGTGCAAAATTACTTTTTATTGTTGTTATAGTTGATTAAATATATATGTATGTATATGCATTTGTGTTACTATAAAAATGGAATTTTGATCAGTCTAAGCATCTTTTTTTAAATGTATTTTTTTAGTTGTACACGGACACAATACTTTTATTTATTTGTTTATTTTTATGTGATATTGTGGATCGAACCCAGTGCCTCACTCACGCTAGCCAAGTGCTCTACCACTGAGCCACAACCCCAGCCCAAATCAAAGCATCCTTATGATCTTGTTTAACAGGGTGGGCCAAAATAAGTCATTTTGGTATTTATACAATGCAATTCTTGCAATATTGTCTTGATACAACTAGAGATTGAAGAAGAAACAGGATCAGAATTTAAATAATTTTATCAAACTTCATTTCACATGTTAGGAAACTGAGGCCCAGGAAGGCAAAGTGACTTGCCTGAAGTCCTCCTAGGACATCGGTGACAAAGGCAGGTTGAGAACTCAGTTTTATGGTTCCAGCTGAATTTATTCCCAGTTATCTCTAAAAATTACAATATCACTTTTAATAAAGACTGCATTATGGATTGCTAGAATTATTTTTGTATTTAATTTTAAAGTAGATTCATATCTCTAACAGTTTAATTTTCTTTTAGTGAATATGATAAGCTTTAAAATCTTCAAGTTGGTAAATACAATTTAAAAATTCAATTTTTGAGCTTTGTAATTTGTGAAAATCTGTGCTACTGCAAGAGCATTGGGAATATTTGGGAAATGATGTGTTTTTTCTTTTTGTTGCAAATGCCAGATATCTCTGATCATTCTTTTACGTGAGCTTTAGGTCTCTCTAAACATATTCTTCATTTACATCAGGAAATTTTCAGGAGGGCAGGCAATTTTTCCTCCACTATTTTATAAATAAATAATCTTTTAGGCAATCAAAAGCTTTTTCAGCATTAACACTGGAACTATTATGGGAAATGTATGTAATTTGCACTAGTGCAATACACTGAATTTTTTTGTTTGTTTGTTTGTTTTTTAAGATTATCTTCCCAGGACCCATTAGGACAAATCCACTTTGATCATGGTAGATATGTAATCCCATTATGTGACTTCAGTCTCTTTGGCAATGTCAAAGTAAACAATTTCACAGTTGGTTTGAGTGTGACATGAGTTAATAAGGTCCCATTTCTGTTGATGTTCCTGAGTGTGGGCAGAACAACATGAGGTAGCAATCTTCTAGTCTATTAAACTATCATTGGCTGGGGAGGGTTTATTAAAAGTTTTTCAAATATTTTTTCTATAGTAGTATGGCAAATCCACTCATCATCTCCTGCTGCCTTAACTGATTTTTTTTTAAAATTTAAAGCACTGTCCTCCTCACCCCCAATCCCAGTGCAGCAGCATTGAGAACTGGGTGAGGTTTCTGTTTGCAGCAACTGTTCCCTTTGAAAACCCTCTCCCCACTAGTTCTCCTGTTTTACTTCTTCCTGAAAACTGCTGCTCCATCCCTTTCTTGGTTCCTTTGCTTCCTGTGATTAAGCAAAGGTATCCTCCCTGGGGCCATCCCGTGGTTGTGGAGTGACTGGGTTGACGCAGGGAGGACTCACACCTGGATCATGGAATGATCCATGACTCAGGTTTCCTCTCAGCTTCCTTACAGGCCCGAGCAGCCTAAAGAAGTTGGCAGCCTGCGGCAACAGTTAAACAAGTGATGGAGATTCTTTCTTTAGGAAAAGTGAACATCGCTGCAATAGAAAGTTGAATTGTGTCCCCTCCAAAGATGCGACCAAGGTCTACTCCTGGTACCTGAGATAGTGATTTTATTTGGAAATAAGGTCTTTGAAGATGCAATCAAGATGTGGTTATTCTGAAGGAAGGTGGGTCCTAAGCCAATACAACTGAAGTTCTTATAGGGAAGCAAAAGACAGACATGTACACAGAGTAGAGCTCTATTTGAGACAGAGGCACAGAGAGAACAGCATGTGATGACAGGGAAGACTGAAGTGATGCAGCAACAAGAAAAGGAAATTCTGATTGCTAGAAATACCAGGAGCTAGGACAAAGGCCTGGAACAGATCCTCCCTCAGAGGCTCAGAAGGAACCAACTCTGCTAACATTCTTTTTTTTTTTTTTTTAAAGAGAGAGAGAGAATTTTTTTTTAATATTTATTTTTTAGTTTTCGGCAGACACAACATCTTTGTTTGTATGTGGTGCTGAGGATCGAACCGGGCTGCACGCATGCCAGGCGAGCGCACTACCGCTTGAGCCACATCGCCAGTCCCTGCTAACATTCTTGATTACAAACTTCTACTCTTCAAAACTGTGAAAGTAAATTGGTATCGTTTTAAGCCATCCAGTCTGTGTTCTGTTGTTACAGCAGCCACAGGAAACTAATACAGCCACCCCCAAGCTGTCATTGAGCACCAATAGCTACAAACCCTCCTGGTTCTCATACCCAAATCCACATGTTTGGGGTTACTGGATGGATGGTGAATCTTATGTCTTCTCCTACTTAGCCATGCTGGCATGGACCCTGGAAGCTCTGGCATTATTTTCTTTCCATACAACCCCTGACCTAATTCTTACCAGCCTCTTCAAGCAGACTGGATCCTTTTCTTCATCCTGTAGCCACTGTCCAGCACTGTAGAGATAAGGTTCGTCACCTGGGATTATGTGACACCCATCTCTACCTTCTAATGCAGAGCCTGGCCCACTGAGCATTAAGTCTCTTAGCTTCTGCATGAACAGAAGTTTGCCACCATTTCTTAGCTATTGTGTATGGGGCTGTATGGGTGTCCCCAAAGGTAGCCACCTCCCAGCTTTTCTCCTTCCCACTCCCAACCAAGCCCTGCTGAAGAGGCCTCAGCTTCTAAACGCAGACAGTCATCCAAGGAGTTCAGACTTTGTGTCTTGCATTGTTCATGATAATGCTGCCAGCTAATGCTAGAATGAGGGTTGGAACATAAACCAAAATACAAATAGAGAGGTGCTCATCACACAGAATCACAACACAAGACACTTATAACTCCATGACATATACATAGTGCTCCTCCACCTTTTATACCATGGTCCCCACAGAGCACAACCCTGTGATGACAGCATGCTGGAGTAAATGGGCAAGGCTGCTTCTGGGTGATCCAGCACCCAGGCTCTGCCTGGTTACCCCAAGCCTGCAGAGACCTATTAATCTGCCTGCTGCAACCCTATCCGGCTGGGATGCTCCATCCTGAGGTCAACATAGATCACTCCTTGGACAGGTAGGGAAATGGGAAATAATAATGACCAGTATGTGGACAGATGGTGGCTTACCTTCTGTGACAGCACTGATACAGTAGTATATAGCTCACCTGCATTGTCCACTGTCCTTATCGCAATCTGGGGCAGCAGCCCCAATGATGCCCCTCCTAGAGCAGTTGCAGCCTTCGCAGCCAGCTAGGGGGTGGAAGCTGAAGGAATGCAGCTCGCAGGCCTCACACTGGGGTCTGACAGTGCGGGGAGGGCAGAGGCACTGTCCCGTCGCCTCTTCACAAAGCCGCCTGCCACAGTTGCACTCTGGCCAGGGGATAGAGAGATGTGATATTAGGATTAGGCACTGCCTGACCTCCAGCTGGACTGCACCATCTGCCAGGATTTCCAGAAGCTTCTAAGGGATTCAGAATTGTTTTGCCTTCCATTCATTAAGAAATCGTTGACCTTAGTAGATCTGAAAGGCCCATTTCTTGGGGCCAAAACCAACATACCAAATATTCTTGGCAGATACCGTGTGTGGACCCTGAATGAGGCACAGCTGGACCAACTGGTTCCAAGCTAGATCCTCCAAGGAGCCCACCAAACTGCTGTCATGTGCTGTTCTAATATGGAACTGCTTTTTCATCAGAAAGTTCTAGAAGTAAGCAAGTAGGGGCTGCTCCCAGGCTCCCCAATGCAGCTCCATGGCCTCCCAGTGCACTACAGGCCCAGAGGCCAAGGTCAGGGCCAATGGATGCAGCTATATCATTTCTTGCTTAGTTAGGGAAAGGCTGGTCTCTGTAGGGTGCATTTGCCACCACATGACATGGGTGACCTATGCCTCAGATCACAGGTAGTTGGTTCTTAGACAAAAGCTCAAGGGTTTCTCATCCTGCAAGTAGCATCTAGTCATGGGTATGACCCTGGTTCTCCTATCTCAAGTGAGTTTCAGTTAGGCCACAAAAACTGAAGGGGCTTCTACAAGGAAGGGATTTAGCTGCCCAAGATTCTGACATATAAGTCTGTAGTCACCTGCTTGCCAAGTGCATAGGTCACATGGCATGGGGATCACCAATATTTGTCTTCTAGAACTTGCTACTCACTGTGGCCCAGGGAAATGGAAATCAGATGGGTGCCTACTGCAAGTACAGAGTCTCAGGCCCAGGTTTGCATTTCATAAACCCTCGAGGTGAGTCTCCGGCACAGTGGGATTTGAGACGCTCTTCCCTGGATGAGCATCCCCTGGGAACCAGAGAAGGCCTTGGAGGTCTGGAATCGCTCACTTACTCTTGCAGTGTGGGAATCCATAGTGGCCAGTTGCACAGCGGGTACACTGCCGCCCGATGATGTTGGGCCTGCACGGGCACTGCCCGCCCTCAGGGTTGCAGTGGTGGCTGATGGCCCCAGCAGGGTCACATTCACAAGGCAGAGCGCCATTATGGTAAAAGGCCACCAAGGACCTGGCAGAATTCTTACAGAACCTGGAGGCTGTCTGGGGACTGAGAAAACAGAAACAACTTATTGCTGACATCCTGGGACATGTGCCTGGAAATATCCCAGACTTCCCTTTCCCATCTGCTCCTCCCAACAGTATCCTTGGGGGTGGGGGTGGGGTGGGGGTGCGGTGCTCTGGGCTCTGAGACTGAGAAATGTCAGCTGCTAAAAACTACTCTTTTCTCCAACCATCCAGTCCAAGAGAGGATGCTATCGGAATGGTCAGTGGGAACTCTGGGTAGCTGGAGTCACAGGGTGAAAATATACCTATAGGATGAACACTGTGGCCTGTGAGTTATATCTCAATAAAGCCGGTATTTTTAAAAATACAATAATAAAACCGATAGATAATAAGGAGGAAGGCAATCACCATGTATTGAATGTTGCTTCTAGAAGCTTTAGCTATGTCTCATTGAACCTCACAACCACCCAACCAATTAGGCCTCAACCCCATTTCACAGATAAGATGACTGAATCTCCTAGAAGTTAAGGGACATTCCTAAGGCCGAAAGATGTGGAGCAGCCAAGCAGTCATTCAAGACCACAGCTGTTTGGCTTTTTTCGGGGGATACCAGGAATTGAACTCAGGGGCACCTGACCACAGAACCACATCCCCAGTCCTATTTTGTATTTTATTTAGAGAAAGGGGCTCACTGAGTTGCTTAGGGCCTTGCTAATTTGCTGAGGCTGGCTTTGAACTTGCAATCATCCTGCCTCAGCTTCCTGAGCCATTAGGATTACAGGCATGCACCACTGTGCTTGGCCAAAGCCTTTGCTTTTTTTTTTTTTTAATATTTATTTATTTTTTTAAGTTGTAGTTGGACACAATACCTTTGTTTTATTTATTTTAATGTGGTGCTAAGGATCGATTCCAGGGCCTTGCATGCTCTAGACAAGCACTCTACCACTAGGCCCCAGCCCCAGCCCCAGCCCCTAGCCTTCACTTTTAATATTGCTGTCTAGGAGACATGCCTCTCCAGGGCCTCTGGAGCTCATGGGTCCTTCAGGAAAGCTACAGGTGGGCACTGGGGCCCATGGAAGAGCTCATACTTGGCTGTCCTTGTTCTCAGTATTCAGGGATATAAGAGGACTGGGAAGGGAGGCTACATGTCTGTATGCTCCCCATTTGGGCAGATAGCAGGGGATCAGGGCTGACGTCTGCTTAGTGGAGGGCAATGTGAGATTATCTTTTAGGACTCTGCAGTGGTAGACAGGAAGCTGCAAAAGAGGAAGAGATACTCCTAAGCTGCCCCAGATCCCAGCTGGGAGGGTGGACCTCTGCTGAGTTCCATCTGGCCGCGCTGCCCAGATGATACATGGAGAGGTCTGTCCCAGGACTGTGGGTGCAGAGGAAAAGCATCACCCTGCTAGGTCCTGAGACTTACTTGGGTGGTGGAGGAAGATCCAGGACCAGCCTCTCCTTGGATCTCATTTGGTTCTGGGTTGTGGGCATACCCCATGCATTCCCAAGCCTGGCCACGGTGACACTTACTCAATATAAAAACTGTTTCCTCCACAATTGGTGATAAACTCAAAGGACTTGTCCACCGATTTTTTGTTAAGTATTTGATAGTCGTAATTCTCTGCAGGCACCACTAGAACGCGGACCTAAAAGAAACCCATCAACGCGTGTTTGGATTTGCAACAACGTGACACAACTATAGCTCGTCACTAAGATTATATCCCTGACTGTTAAACCCAAGTCCTAATGATGCAGGATTTATGAAAAAAAGAATCAAAAGATCAAACCCAAATCAGGGTTAATGGCTCAATCCACATTGCTACATAGGAAACACTGAGCACCAGGCAGACTTGGTATCTCTACTCAGGGGAGCACCAGCCGAGTGCCAGTTGGATCAGGGGAACTTGGGGGGAGTCCGACCTGTTAACATGGCCAGGGCTTCATGTGATCCATGCCTGGGATTCCCCTGGATCTCCAGGGATTGTTGTTTTCCAAATTTTAAAGGTAAGCAAACTGAAGTGGCAGAACCCATGTGGAGCCTATCAATGTAGAACCTTCTGGGCTTGCCCCAGAAGTTTACTTAGTACTGCAGAGTGAAAAATCATAGCCCCAGTCTTTAAAAGTATGACTCAGACTATTCTTTAACAAATGCTGTGAGAAACTGCAAGCATCTTTAATCAACAACTCACCAGCTTATAGCTTTCAGACTGCCTACTGTTCTGGTATTTACCAACTCAATACATACTTGCAAATAGTATGTGCCAAGCAATGTTCTAGGCACAGGGATATGAAATGGATACAGCAATAGCCAAACACACATTTTCTTGGTATTCCCCACAGGAACAAAAGAATGAAATTTTTAGATGAACACTCAATCTACTCCCTCTCACCTTTTTTTAAGGTCAATTTTTAAATTTCTCTGTGAATTTTAATAATGGATTCTCAAAATAAGCAATCTAAGTCTACACAGGACCAACACATCTAAATCAACAAGTTGAAAAAAATAAATAGAACAAAATGAATATAGTTAGTCTCCTCTATGCCCTGGGACAATAGCATCCTCAGAGAGAGGTCAGGAGGCCTGAGCATAGAGCGCCACACAGAGCAGAGCCTGGGAAATGAAGCACTTCCTGCTTCTCTGGAAGGATGGCAGAGAAAACGAACTACATCTGAGCCAGGCTAATAGGTCAACGAGATTTTTCCAGGCACAGAAGCAAGTAGAAAATTCTAGAAAAGGGGACAGTGTGAGAGAGCCTAGTGGCGTGAGAGTAAATGACATGTCTGGGAGCTTGTGAATGGAGAGGTTGGCCAGAGAATGAGGTGGGGGGAATGGAGGGGGAAGTATAGAAGAGGGGAATAGCGGGAGAGATGGAGGAAAGATGAGTTAGGAGGAGGTTGGGAGGGCCCTGGTCACCGGAGTGAAGCACGTGCACTGTAGGCTATCGGAGGTGAGAACTCCTGAAAAAGTGGCTGAGTCTCAGCATGATCAGATCCACTTCAGCCAGGAGAGGGCAGGAGGGACTGGAGGGAGGGGAACCCAGACAGGGAGACCATGGCAGGAAGTTCTGGCCAGTCTGAGTGAGAGAATAGATTGTCAACCTGGGACTAGAATAGAAGGGATAGGACCAAGAGACATGGCAGAGTGCCAACTTATGGCTCAGAGCAGATGCAGAAGGGGGAGTCATCACATCTGAGCATTGGGGGGACCATGGGGACCATCATTAGAGGTAATGAACAGGGTAGGAGAAGCCGGAGCTGTGCAGGTAGCAGGCCAAGTGCGACAGGCCCCTGAGATCTCTGGCAGATGATCATACATTGGGTGTGGAGTTCAGGGTAGACTGTGGGTGCATTGAGAGATGTGGGTATTATAGCTAAGTCTAGAATTAACAGGCTCTAATGATGTCATCCAAAGAGTCAAGATAGAAGGAGGCTTAGTGTTGAACCCGAGGGAACTCCAACATATAGAAATGAGAAGGACAGAGAACTATCAAGGGATTATGAGGGAAAGAGACATAAAATGGGGAGAAAGCAGCGACCGAGGTCAAAAGAAGCAAGAAGTGTAAAATGCTTTGGTGAGAGACTGGTCAGATGAGAAGAGGGCAGTGGTGGTAAATATGAGCACTTTGCTTTTGGTCATCCCCATTTTCCTTGATTTTAATTGTCACGTGTTTTTCTTTTTCTTTTGGGTCAAAGCTGTAAAATGATAATTCCATAAACATGGCTTTAACTCCTTGGAACAACCGTTGCCGTGAACCAGTCGGCCAGAGAAGCCACAGGACGAGGAAGTCAAGGGACAAGCAGAACGCACCAGTGTTAAGGACTTTCCTTCCGGAACCTTCACAGTCACAGCCACCTCAGGCTCTGAGATGTCAAACTCAACCTGGCCTCCACTGATCACCTGATCCCGGCAGCCCAGCACATGGGGACAAAAGGAGGCACGGAAGGAACCTGGGCAAGGAGAGAGGAGCTCCCGTCATGTGACCGCAGGGACAATGCCAGGCACACCGCTCATGGACCTGATCATGGTGCTCACCTGACCACGGCCGCCCTCCATCCACAAACACCTGGACGGGAAACGTTGGGTGCGCTGCTTGATAAAAATGGATGACAAAAACATACCGGCCCAGGTGTGGTACGAGTCCTCTCAGGGTCACTTGGCTCTAAAAGGGAGAAAAATGAGGGTGATAAAAACTCCCAGTGAGAACCCCTTAAGCTGAAGAGCTACAAAATGATTAGAATATTTAGAAGTTGTTATCACATGAGTATGGTTTGTCCCCACCAAAACTCAGGGGGAGATTTAATTCTTTTTTTTTTTTTTTACTTTGAGATTTAATTCTTTTACGTGGCTGTGTTGGGGGGTAGAGCCTAAGAGGAGGTACTTAGATTATAGGGACAGAGTCCCCATAAACACATAAATGCCCTCTCCCAGAAGTGAGCTCTTGCCCTCCCAGGATGGGCTGAGTAACTACAAGAATGGGTTCACATAGAGTACCTGCCCCTTTTGTCCCCTCCTCTCTTCTACAGGTGCTCACTTGTCACTGTCACACATGTACCCACCATGTGGTATCTTCTGCCATGTGATGCTGTAGGACAAGGCCCTTGCCAGATGTGGGCACCTGACCTTGAACTTCCCAGCCTCCAGAACCAAGAGCTAAAGCAACCTCTTCTCTTTATAAATTACCCAAACTCAGGTACTTTATGGTAGCCACAGAAAACGGACTAGAACAGTTTAAAAACCAGAAATGACCTAGGTATTTACCCAAGTGAAATGACAAGGTGTATTCCCAAAGAAACCTTCACTGTGAATGTTTGTAGCAGCTTTATTTGCAAATAATCAAAACTGGACACAAAACAAGCATCTCTCACCTACAGAATGGACAAACAACTGTGATATAACCATACATTTTGTTGGAGGGGGTGTAATTTGGTAAATTACATTGAAAAACTGTTTGTCAGTATTTGCCAATGTCAAAAACATAACCCAGAAGTTGCATTCTCAGCTAGTACCTATAATATGTTTGCTAAAAGGCTGCAGGAGTATGTTCAAAGCAGCACCTCTCAGAATACCTGGGTAATAAGGAGTCTGACTCCATCTTTGATGTTTGACTACTGACAGCTTTCAACTGCTTTTCCCGCATACCTGGACAAGTTGATAAGAAAACCTAAGGGCCCCTCCCTTGGCATGGGTGAAAAGTCCAAACCACACAAATTCCAGCTCTTGGGACCTGAACTGTGTTCCCCACTCCCATCAACCACAACAAAATCCAGAACCACACTCCTCCTTTTACTTAATCATATGAGTGTGAGCCCTGCTCTCTCCAGAATACTGCACTCGATGCATAATAAATCTTTTAACTCTCAAAAAACTGCAGCAACAACAACACAATAGCAATAAAAGATTATCCTCGTTTTTCAAGACAAGAGCTATAACTAAGAGAGAGTAACTAACTTGTAGGAAGTCGCTAATTTAATGATTCACTAATTTAATGAACAAACCAGGACTAGAACTAGGTCAATTTGATTTTAACCCATTTCTCTTAGCTATTATTTGGCTACCTTTCCCATCTGGAATCTTATTCAATTTTATCTCTGAGGTCCTGTTAATTTCCAAACCTGCTGCTATTTGAACAGACACGATCACCCTTTGGATGATAAGAACATACTAATATCAGAATGTTACGTGTATTCTATACTCCAGAACTTTTAAAGTTTATGTTAAAAAAAAATCCACCTGGACAATATGTTAAAATGCAGATTGCTGAGCCCCGCCCCCAGGGCTTCTGATTCAGGAAGTCTGGGGTGAGGCCAGTGAATGTGCTTTTCCAACCATCTCCCAGGTTTCATGGATGCTGCTGATCAGGGGCCACACTTTAAGAACCACGGGTCTAGACACAGCACACTAGATGTCAGTCTTACCTGTGGGGCCTGTAAGGTAATTTCAGGAATGACGTTTGCAGAAGGGGAATTCTCCTGGGGCAGGAGAGAAAATGTTCTCCCACTGGGGACATTCAAAATTAAGGCAGTGGGAGGAGTCTCATGGGCCAGAGAGACACAGGTGGCACTGAAAATACAATGTTCAAAATGTTATTTCACAGTTTGGGGGTTTGGGCTCAGTGGTAGAGCACTTGCCTAGCATGTGTAAGGCACTGGGTTCAATCCTCAGCACCACAAAAAATAAATAAATAAAATAAAAATCTTACTTCACAATTATCGAAAACCTGCAGAGCTGTCCATGGAGCAAAGAGACAAGACTTTGAGTACAGGACTGAGTAAACTATTGAAGGGTTCCCGTGTCAGGGGAACCATAGCATCCTACACATCATTTTTTTAAATTTCTATTTAATTTTTATTTTTACAGCGCTGGGGATTCCTGGGCTTCACACATGCTAGAGAGGTGCTCTACCACTGACCTACAGCCCAGCCCACTGGAAATCTTTATATAGTGATAATCAGTGAAGTCTATTGGCCTAGAATATTCCAGCTGCCTGCTTAATACAACTAGTGTAAACAGAAAGCAGACCTCTATTTTGAAGTAAGATAAGTGAAATAGAAACTTACTGAAACATCCTTTTCCTTCAAAATTAAAATGCAACCAATACAATATTATTCATCTCTTTTTATAAATGTCCACCTAACAAAAAGAGAAGCAAATACATATTTCTTTTAGGCACAGCCAGATCTGCACTGGGTTGGCCATTTTTATAGTCCTAACCACACACACAAGGAAAATGACTGTGTCTATAAATTAATTATTTTTGAGTCTACAGCAAAGCAAGCCTATGAAAACCCCAATAAGCATGAGCTAATTCTGATAACATAGCTGTGAGATAGCTCATTATTTTTGTGGTTTTGTGAATACAGAGCCTCAGACACAGAGATTAAAGGATTGAAGCAAAATGAGGGCTCAGAATAGAACACAGGGACCTGCCCTCCAGGGCCAGGCTTAACTATTTCCCCTGGTACCGCTGTGTCAGCCTCCTGGCGTTATGGAATTCTGGAAAAAAAATGAAGGCTGAGAAAAATAATTTTGCTGGCTTTTCTCTTTTTAACATCCATCACCAGACTTCTACACCTGAGCTTACGATCACTTCTGAAGGACAGGTTGAGCATCCCTAATCCAAAATTTCAAAGGTTGCAAATCCAACACTTTTTGAACACTGACCTGATGCCACAAGTGGAAAATTCCATACCTGTCATCATGAGACAGGTCACAGTCCAAACTCAGGTAAAATAAGAATGTTATAAGACATTACCCTCAGGCTATGTGTATACCCTATGCATGATATATAAATGAATTTTGTGTTTATACTTGGGTTCCATCCCTGGTGTATCTCATATATATGAAAATATTCCAATTTTTTTTTAAAAAAAGCTGGAATTTGAAACACTTCTGGTTCCAAGCATTTTGGATAAGGGATATTCAATGTGTATAGAGTTTCAGCCTTACAAGCATCACAATATCCTTTAGATATCAGTAAGAAACAAAGGAAGAAAACACATTACCTTTGATTAACCAATGGCCCGTAGCTGGCAATACAGTGGACTTGAGGCCTCACGTATTCAGCTGAGAATTCTTCAATGGGTATGAGACAAATCTGATGCTGTCGAGCAAATACAATGTGAAAAGGTAGCCACGGTTACCAGCAAAACAGTGGTATGGCCAAATCATAACATTCATTCAGAAAAATTATAGTCATTAAAGTAGTAAATACTATGCAGTCATACAATGGAAAATTCAAAATGGCGACACCATTGGTAACACATCCTTTTTTAGTGTTATACCCTACTGACTAAATTGCTGTTGGAAAAATAAATAAAACTGAAAAAAATCATATAAAAGTTACAAAAAAGAAAAACTCTTTCAGTGACCTTTGATGCCTGTTTTGGAAGTTTTGTCTTGTTTCTTTTTTTTCTCTCCTCTCTAGATGTACCATTACAAGATTGGACAAACTTGTGCTGGCTCTTGAGACTCACTAACAGGAAGCGGGCAATGTGGTGCGTGGCCAGAGAGCTGTATTGCTATTCAGAGAGCTGTTCTTGGTAGAAATAACCCTTCTTGATAAAAAAATGACCTGAATCTCGGGTATACTTGGACTTTGTTGAAGGATCTATCTGCAGAGGTATTTTTTGAGTGACACAAGAAACTCAATCATTAATGTACCAGTATATTTTTAAAAACAAAATTGTATTATCAGCTGGATTGCAAACCTATTCAGTAACAACAAACGTTTTTACTGAACATCGTTAAGACAGGGTGTCCTACAAGACCAAGATAGACTGCCTCTGTCCTCATGCACCTGCTATTCTAGTCAGCCTTGAACCTGAATGACAGCAGGCTATTTCAAAAGAGGTACACAGGACGCGGGACATGGCTCAGTGGTAGAGTGCTTGCTTAGTGAGACATTTACATCCCTAGCACAGAAAACAAAGAAAGATCAAAAAGGGCAAAACCTATGATTAAAAGATGAAGAGTCAGCCTCATGGTCATTTCTAAAGATAAAGAGGTTAGATTTGCTTGGATTGTTATGATTTTTTTTAAAAAAGAGGGTTGCAATTTATAATAATAATTTTTAAAAATCAAATTTCAGCTATTCTTAAGTTCAAAGTTTATAATACTGTCTGACATAGATATTTAAAGTGCATTTGTACAGTCTGACCTAGCATTTCCCAGGGTTTGATACATGCTTCATATCAGCAGTAACAGGAAGTTGCTTCATGCTTAAAATATCTTAAATTCCCTGAGACACCTATTGTGAATCTGGCCATCCCTGCCTACACAGACCCCAGGGTCTCTCAGTATTGAAGGTGTACCATTACAAGATTGGACAGGAAGGTTATTTCCTCGGCTCAATTTCATATTTTAACTCTTAAGCTTATATATCCAATTAACTAAATAATACTTTTTCTTAAATAGAAGTTTTTAAAAAAAACTAGCTGATAATAACTTTGACTTTTTGATAGACTTTGCCAAAAACTATAAATAAGAGGTAATAGGATAGTAAAATGGGAAAATAAATAAACAATAACCAATGGCATTCCTATACTCTGGCAATAAAAATAAAGTAGGAAATATAATGACAAAGAATATTTCATTCTTGATAACAAAGAATAAAAATTAATGAAATGGGATTTTGTGAGATGTGTTCGAATTTGATGACTAAACTTTATTGGGCGATATAAAAAATGGCTCAAATAAATAAAGAAGCAAGTCAGGCTCTAGATGGGAAGAATAAATATTAAGCTGGCAATTCTTCACAGGTTAATTTTATAATGAAACTGTAGCCAAAATTTTAATAAGCTTTAAAACATATCGATAGCAACAAAATGCTTCTAAAAGTTCAATGGGCAAAACAGAAGCATACCAGAAGGAATCGGGCCATGTGCACCTTGAGCTGAAGGTCTGCATCTGCCAATAGCTCATACACAGCAATGCGGCTCATGCTATCAATCACAATGCTCCGGCAGAGAACACTGCAAAAGGAAACAAGAGTTTTCTTAGCCTAGCCCCCCTCTCTAATTTGCAGCCCCTGGAGTCTCCCTCACTGTGCACATCCCCATAGAAATTGCTCTTCAGTTTCCCCCTTTATAACTAGATGAACAGTAGTAAATTTTTACTGCATAACAAGTTGCAGAACAATGCAATCTGCATTTGAAAGTTGAATGTCCCTTGGGCTGGGGATGTGGCTCAAGCGATAGTGCGCTCCCCTGGCATGCCTGCGGCCCGGGTTCGATCCTCAGCACCACATACAAACAAAGATGTTGTGTCTGCCGAAAACTAAAAAATAAATATTAAAAAAAAATTCTCTCTCTCTCTTTAAAGAAAAAAAAAAGAAAGTTGAATGTCCCCTCTAAAATTCATGTTGAAATTTAATTGCCATTGTGACCTTTAAGAGAGTAGGCTCTGCCCTCATGAGTATATGAACGGTGTTATCAGAGGAGTGGTTTCATTATAAAGTGGACTCTTGCAAGCGCATGTGTACTCTTGCTCTTCTACCTTCCACCATAGGATGACATAGCACAAAGGTTCTCATTGGATTCAGGCACCATGATCTTGGACTTCCCAGACTTCAGAACTGTGAGAAATAAACTTCTTTATAAATTATCCAGTCTGTGATATTCTGTTATAATAGCACTAATGGACTAAGATACAGCCCAAAATCTCTATGGAAAAAGAATCTTTCCACTATAGCCACTGCTGTACCTGTCAGAGCTAAGGGCCCTGCTTACCTTTCCCACATGGCTTGATGAATGCTTGGTTTAATCATAGGGAAAAAGAACTCCTGGGCAGTGATAGCAGATCTCTAACACATAGCCTTCTTGGAATTTTACCAATATTCTTGGGAGCATTTGAAGTTCAAGTTACCCACTCATGACCATGCCACTCGCAGTCAGTAAGTGTGGTGGACCTTCCTCAACATTGGAGAAACCCAGACTTTGCTTTTGAGACTCAATCTGTTCCTTCTCTTTCTTTCTTCCTCATTTCTATCCCTGATGCCCCTTCCCTCTATCTCATCTGGTGAGCTGCAGAGTTTGGAAATATTTAAAAGGCCACATAATTCCAATGGTTAAACCCAGACAGGAAGTCTTTTTTGAGTAATGTTTCAGATTTCATACTCTGCTGCAACTTCTCTGCTTGTAAATAAAATATAAAACTAGTAACCAATTAAGACAGAATGACTACCTCTGATTAATATTTGAAATAATTTAGGCAATGACTTTTTAGGTCAGGATTAAAATGAGATAAAACATACCAAAAAAAAAAAAAAGCAGAGTTTGTACATATATTAGAACTTAATAGTTGTGTGTGTGTGTGTGTGTGTGTGTGTGTGTGAATTAAAATATTTCTTTTGGATTCAAGCATAATACTGGGAGTTAAATATGTGAAGTGATTCATTGAAATTTAGCTTTATCCTTTATTAAATTATTATTTAATGATTTAGACAGTTATTCCTCAATAACCCATTCAGACAAGGCTCATGGAATGCTGGGAGGGTGTTCTTTCTTTGGTTTTAAACCCCTCTTATCCTGAAATGATTCAGAGTCACCAGCATCATATGAATAATTCCTCCTGTTCCTGAGCCATCTCCACTTCGGATCCTACAAAACTGGAATCAAGCCCTGTGACATGGGAGGTGGAAGGAGTGGAGAGAGCTAAACTGGAGGGTGGACTTGGATGAACAAGATGTGGAGAAGCTCTGCCCCAGTTCTATGGCCAGCGGTCCCCAGGACTCAGGTGACTTGGTGACCCACCCCTCTAGGGGTGCATACTCTGCTGGTATTGATGTCACCTAAAGATGCAACTCATATTTCCAAATAATGTCAGAACATTCTGGGGAACTCTTTTTAAGGCCCATCTCATGGTCCTGTTAAAAATCCAAATATAGAGTTAGAAGTGCAGCCCAGTGGTGGAACACCTAGCATGCATGAAAGAGGCCCTCTTCCGTCCCCAACTACAACAACAACAACAACAACAACAATAATGATAATAATAATAATAATAATACAATTACATTTTTTGGTTTCTTTTTGCAGCAGCATTTTTAATGTTGCTGAGAATAGCCATTTCACTGAATTGTGTAAAAGTTTCCCTTCTAAATTTCCAGAAGTTACTCTTTGCATAAGTTCTTCCCTTTCCACATCAGGGAAAATGTCCAACTACTTCAGGTCATCTTGGGCTTGGCAAAAAGCAACATTAAAGTAAAGATAACCAAATGTTCAGGGCCTTGAGCAAGAAGTGGGTGGGTTTTCTGCAGTTCTCCACCTGCTGTTTCAAGAAACTCCAGCTGACTTCTAGTACCATTTATTAAACAATTAATCTCATGTGGAAAGCCTCTTGTGCTGATTCTTTCATCAAAGCATGTTCTTGGAATATTATGCAAAGAAAACCATTTTTAATAAGCTCGTGTCAATTAGTGTTCTTGGACAAGAAGACCTTCACCAAGGCAAATTTTAAATGTCCTTTGTCAAATTTTTTTTCATCTGTTAATCATGAAACATTAATTATCCCCAGTTCTGAGGTGCATTGTGAACGCAGGTGTGTACTTCCTAATAGTATAGAGAATGAGTCTCTTTCCTCATGCCATGTACACATGCACTTGGTGGCCATTGAGGTGAGAACACTGAATTCATTGTACCACACTAAGAGTGACATGGACTCACGAAAAAAGGCCGTGCAGCTTCATGTGATTCTGAACCGAATTGCTAAGGAGAGCATGCGGCTTTTTAAGAAAATGAAAAATTTTCAATTCACTGCCTTCAGAGAGGACTCTCACTGGGCATGCTACAGATGATGCTGGATCATCTAACTAGTCCCTGGCTTGTTTTCAAGATTCGCTTAAGAAAGAAAACAAGGTTCCAACGCAAATGCAAATCAAAGTTCCTCAGGCACACACCATATTTATTCCCTGGGAACAAGGGGGAATTCCTAGGGTGGGGGTGGGGGCTGATTACCTGTACTTGCAGCTATATATGGTCACCTGGCCTGCCAAAAGAGGCCCCCCGGGGCTCTTCATGTTCATGTCAACCGTAAACAGCTGGTCTGCTTCTGTGACATATTCAACCATGACCACGTACTGGCCGACCTGTGGGACACGCAGCTGCAGATGCAGTTCCACCTGCCAAAGAGGCCAAACAGACCATCATCCAGTGTGGAACACACACATGAACATATTTACATACATGATGGTGAAAACAGAGAAAACACCAAGGAGACACTTCTACATGTCAGCATAGTACGGATCTGGCTCTAAGGGTGGACATGGGAAAAAAAATACTTGATGCCCCATTAAATTTGAAGTCCAGATAAGCAATGAATAATTGTTTACATGAATTTCAAATCTAAAGCAGCATTATATATTTTTATCCTCCAAATCTTGCAATTTTATTTATAGGGGTGTCTACTTCTACCCTGTAATGGTTTAGCTCCCATTTCTCACAGTCAAAGGCACTCCCAAACTTGAAGTAAAACAGATTACCAATGAAGGGTATGAGGAATGGGTATATGCCTTGAAGCTCTTTAACTAACTTATTTTACAAAGAATTTAAATTATCTCAGTGAAAATAACATAAAAGTGACACACCTCTCCCACCCCTGTTGATAGTTTGCTACATCATGACAATGACAACTGATAGCTTAGTTCTCATACTTTCAAATAATTTTCTATGCCTAGAGGTGCACACACACTTAAAAAAAAAAACTGTGGTCATGGTAGGCAATCAAGGATGTTCTTGAACTATAATAATATAACTATGGTAACATAAACCATGTGGCCTGCAAAGTCGAGAATAAATACTATCTGGCTCTTTACAGAAAAATTATGCTCCCCCAATCTCACCTATTGGTTAGGAGCATGGAGTCTGAAATCAGATTGCTCCCAGCTGTGTGATCTAGGGTTTTTTTATTTGATATCTTACGTGTCAGTACCCTCCTGTGCAAAATGAGGGTAATAATAGTACCTACCTCTTAAGATGGTTTTGAGGATTAAATGAATTAATATATGCAGAGCTCTTAGAACTATATGTCGCATGTCCTAAGCAACACATAAAAACATTGATGATTATAGCTGTGATTATTGCTTTTTGCTATGACTTGTTTCGCTATGACATGTTACTCAACAATACTTCATATTTCTTTTTCAGCATATAGAAATATACTTCATTTTTCTAACAGTTACCTACCACTCTAGTGTATAACTATAAAAATATTTGATCTCCTACGGATGAACATTTAAGTTGTCTTTAATTTTCATATACATGGATATATACACATATACACACATATACACACACATATGGGAAATATATATGTATATGTGTGTGTATATATGGAATTTATATATATATATTTGTTAATTTATATATGGAATATATATTTATTATTTTATATATAAATTAATAAGTATATATTTATATAAGTACATTATATAAATATATATATAAATTAATAAATATACATATAAATTCCATGCTGGTATTTTATAAAATTCCTAGAAAAAGAATTGCTTGTGTGAAGTATGTGGTCATATTTCATGCCTAACCCAGTATTAGAATTGTATTCCTTAGCAGCGTAACCCACCTTAGTTCATACGCTCAAGCCCAGTTGAGTTATACCACACTTAATTGAAATGGTCCTCCTTCTCCTTGCCTTCAGGAAATTCACATTGACTGCTCTTTCTGAAAAGTTCTGAACTACATAAATGCTATATTCTGTGGTGATTTTTCCACCACTTAAATAACAGAAAGATTCCCTCAGGGAACTACGTGGATTATCCACACCACTCTTGGCTCTATTACACAGTGATGTACGGCACTGCCAATGGTGCAGGTGGACAGGTCATTACTGGCTTCTCTCCCCTGGGCATCTCCAGATGAAAGCTTTTCTGTCTTCTCTCCACCATAAAACACACATGGGTCAATGACTCTTCAGGTTTTCTCCCAGAGGTTATCATTGGCTGCAAGTTTTATCATAGTAGTCTACTGTAAATTTCTAATATGCTTCCCATTCTGAGTTCTATGGATTGATTTTTGAAAGATCTGTTGGAAGAGTTTAAAATACATTTGATGGCAAAAGCAGGTTTTGCGGAACTCAGATAAAAGACATTACAATGACAAACAAAATCTTTAAGCTTACTGTTGTTATCAGTTACTTATTTTTAAAAAGGGAAATTTGAATGGAACCAGTATCAAAATGGTAAGGTGGCACAACTGCCCTCTCCTAGTTACAATGTTTTAGGATAAAGACATAGAAGGTGGGTTTATCAAATCTGTTGTTTATGCAGAAACCTAACAACTCTGATGTCAAAATGGGGATTCAAATAATGAGGTCAACAAGTATTAAATGTATATTCTAGGCCAGGTTTACTGACCAGATGGTGGACATACCATGGGAAACAAAGCAGACATGGTCTCTACCCTCACACAGACTTTAATGAAATAATTCAATAACTATACAATTATGATGTAAAATTAAAAAGCCATTTTTAATTATATTTAAGCTTATTAATTTGAGTGTATATAGTCACATGGAATTAGAAGGTATTGCAGGTCTGGAGGCATTCAGAAAAAACCGTAAACAGAAATTTTCAATAAAACTGGACAGCTCTGGACTTCGTTTTATGCATCAACCCAAAGTGATTCTGCTGAACAGCTCAGTGCTGTGGCTCTGGGCTCTATCACAGGTAAGAACACCTTCTGATGAGTCTTCAGCATCCCTTGCTGGAGGCTGGCCCTTCTCAGCTACACCACCCTGTTGTCTGGGGAACACATACACAAATAGACATGCAAGCACATACACCTATGTGAATCTGTATTTTTGTGTCTATGCATTTTCATGAATGTGTATGTCAATGGACAGCTGTGTGTGTGTGTGTGTGTGTATAGACACACAGTACAGAAAGAAGGGATGCAGTAAAATAAATTTTAGAATAGAAAAGAGGAAAGATCATTTAGTTTTTCTTTATACTTACTTATATTGTTTACTTGATACAACATACATAAATATTATTTTGTAAAATAAAAATTCTAAAAAATAAAACAAAAACTATATTTAAGAAATACACTTAATACCTTTAGCTGTTACTAACAACATGTTAGTATTATTGTTGATTTAAAAAATGTACCCATCTAAATTCTCAGGGAGAACTAAGGCCACAGATATTTTTATTCTATATATTGAATCCACCAAACGAACATTTTCTTCACAGGCACAAAACAGAGAATGTTCTAGAAAATAATAAAAATGTAGCAGAGAAGGCTGTTTTCAGTGTCTTCAATTTGAGGTGTTGTATTTTCTTATTATTGCTGATGTACTGTACTTTTAACTCGCATACTAAATCAATATATTCTTATATTTGGCTACAAGGCTCAAAGAACTCCTGGAAGAAAACTAACGCTGAGACCTGTAGTAACATGTCCCCCGAGCTATGAGTAGCTGTCTTGGGGTGCAGCAGTTCCGGATTCTGAGATTCAGGAATTCAGCTGTTCCAAATTGCTTAGCCTACGGGGTTGGATGGTGAGTGGGTGTTGTGTCCTTTTAGGGTAAGCTATGAAGCTAATGGAGAGCTTTTAGGTTGAGCCTCGTCTTTCTTTGACATCAGAGATATCACCCTGAGTCAGGCAGAATAAGATGCCTCCTCTAGGGAACCAAAAAGAAAGGATTCTATAGTTACTCATGTCCCCTGCCTTGTCTAGAAAGTGTTCAAAGAACAATCTTAACAGAGCTCAGTGTAAGGTCCCATCCAGACCCAACCAAAATCAGAGAACTCAGCAGATGCTGATTAACATCCCTGAGAAATTCTTCCAGTTTCTCTAGAACTTGAGAAGTCAACAGACACAGATAGGGATACAGTATTAGCATTGACAATAAATAAGAGGCTTCTCCCACCTCTCTCCCGCTGAGGTCCACCATGACTGGATGTCTTGCAGTGGGCTGTCTCACTGCCAAGGGTCTCGATTGGCCATCAAGCAGGAAGTGCCTGGCCTCGCAAGCCAGGGTGCAGGGGAACCTGATCACTGGCAAATGCTGGTAAAGCAAGCAACTTCAACAACAGCAAAACACATTAGTTATAACCGAGAACATGAAACCAAATATCAGTGTACATCCCTGAGGACTCTGAGTCATTCAATCCACCTCACTCATTCATGTATCATCCCTTTAACAGACTCTTAGTAAGTGTCTACTACCAGAACTGAGGACTTTTCATCTGCACCAGGAAGGGAAGAAACAAAAGTCCATTTGGATTCTATTTTTAAGCTCTTACCCTTACCCAATGCATGACCTTGAGGTTAAAATTTAGGCATGCAGCAACACTTCTACCTGCTACAGGGTGGTAGCCACTCATAAAAAAAAAAAAAAAAAAAGCTTCAGTGTGCAAAAAGTGCTTTGTGATTCTTACTTGAAGGACACAAATAAGACCGAGAAGAAACAGCACAATTAACTCATTATCCAGAACATTCAGCTGCACTTGTGATCTTGAGGACTATCATGAACCCTTGTGTTAAAGGCTCCTAATTTAGAAGATCCATTCATGCTGCAGTTGCACCTTCTGCCCCATACTAACTTTTCCTGGGGAGATCCTGTGTGGGCACATGGTTCTGTGACAGGCAGCTGCAACGCCGAAGCTTCATAGTAGTCTCTGGGGAGCAGCACCAGGTAATCCTAGCAAAGACCCAAAAGACAGTTACTCATTTTTCTGGGAGCCTTACCTTGATGATAAAATAACTGAACATACTAGCTAAATTAACAACCAGATGAAGCTCTTGGTTAACCTCTCTATACCAACTTCCTGTTCCTTACCCTGACTCACCAAGACCCATAAATAACTCTCGGGGGTTCTTTACACAGGGGTGTTTCAGTGTGAACATTGGTATTTTTCAAATTGCAGAAGAAATTTTACTGTCTCTTCTAAGTCATTTATAAATCCAAAAATTAGCAACGATTATAAGCTGCCAATTGATAAGATGCTCCCTTGAGAGGCTGGCTGCCTTCAGCAGAGAACACCCAACGCAGATCATGTCAGATGGCTTTCTGCTCCTTGCAGAAAAAAAGGTTCAGAAAAAAAGTTTCACAATTCTTGGTGACTCAAGAGAATGGACTGACCTACAGCTTGTCCTACCAAATGGGAAGAAGAGCGTGTTCTAATAAGTGTGCCAAATGAAGCCCACTCAGAATAAATTCTGCTAACCAGCTCTTCTCATATATGTGTCCTCACCATAGATCTGCAAGGGAAGGAGGAAGGGACATCTGCTCAACAGCAAAGAGAATCATATGTGGTCTGTCTGGCATTTCTCTCCTCAGGGAGAAATGGCTAGGAGGGGGAAAGTAGGAGATTGTGGCTTGGGTAACTCGGTGGTCTTACTACCTGTTATGGTTTAAATATGAGGTGTCCCCCCAAAACTCATGTGTGAGACAGTGCAAGAATTTCCAAAAGTCAAATGATAAGGTGATAAGAGATGTGATGTAATCAGTGAATTCATCCGCTGATATGGATTAAGTGGGCAGGTGGGGTGTGACTAGAGGAGGTGGGGTGTGGCACTGGGGGTGTGACTTTGCAGTTCCTATTTTGTCCCTAGTGAGCAGAGCTCGCACTCTCTACTTCCTGGTGGCCAGGTTCTGAACTGTTTCCTTCTACCACACCCTCTGCCATGGTCATGTTCTGCATCACCTCAGGCCCTGAGCTATGGAATTGGCTGATAATAGACTGAACCTAATAACTGTGAGTCAAAATAACTTTTCCTCCTCTATATTGCTCTTGTCATGTCTTTTGATCACAGTGACAAAAAACTGACTGAAACACTGAGTTTAACTTTCAAAATGGTTATCATTCTACTTGCAATATTACTGAGGTTGGAACTGTATCACCTCATTCCTTGATATCCCATAGATCCTAGAACAATAAAGGTTGATAATAGGTGCCCAATATTTTTAGGAGAAATGGAATCATTATGGGGAAAACTATTTGCTCTACTATACAGTGGCACTGACTATACACCATTAAACATATTCCATGCCTCCTAGTAACTTATAATGAATCCTCCTTTCCATTAGTCTAAGTTTGTGCCCACTATGGGCATCATTGGAATTTTCCTCATCCTCATTTCTGACATCTGTGCAGCCATCTTAAACTTTTTTTTTTTTTTAAAGCAGCACAGTTTTCTGCCAAGAAAGTACAAAAAACCAGGAACAAATGGACAGGAAAAAGCTACATGTTATCTTTATAAGGTTCCAGATTTGGAAAGGACCTATAAGGATAAATACTATCCTTATTGTCTGGAATCAGCAAGAAAGGCAGGCTTCCAGTTGAGGTCATCAATGGGGTTGTGCCAGAAGGAAAACTTCATATTTTCCACTCAAAGAGCATAATACCAAGATTTTGCCAATGATTTTGTCTTGAGAAGACCCTGCTATAAGTAGAAGCAGACTTCAAAACAGATATCAAAGAAGGGTGTCCCAGAGAACAAGTTTTATCTCTCTGCTTCTCTGGTTACTTTATTAGTGTTGGTGGACACAGCCTTTCCTTTGATGAACAGTTCTTTGTCAAAAGCAACCAGTTTGGTGAAATTCTTGCCTAGGTTTAAGGTAGGAGAGAGCAGGAACAGCATTATGGCTCCTGTGGCCTCTTCTCTTTCCAACACTGAAAATCTCACTGATATTAGGATTTTCTTGTCCTCTGTTTTTCTGACTTCATTATGCACAGTCCCCAGAAAGGCTTATTTTTTTTAGGTACCCTCTGATTTATGATGGGAAATACCAAATGAGCATTTGGAAGGCAGGGACATATGCATATGAAAGCTTTGCATTTGTTCTGTTAACTTTGAGTCACTGTGAGTTACAGTTTAGGTTATTTGGTTTTTGTGTTTTGTTTGCCCAAGAGAAGCTGGCTAGAAGGAAATAATCTTACATCATTATGTCATTTTAGGGGAAAGGTCACCTTAGGTTCCTGTATGATAAAAGGGAAATCTGTGGCAGGGGCTATAGCTCAGTTGGTAGAGTGCTTGCCTCACATGCACAAGGCCCTGGGTTCAATCTCCAGCACCACCAAAAAAAAGGGGGGGGGGGATCTGTGATTTTGATGTTTCATGGTCACTGTTGGGTCATAGTGTTGGATGAGACCATCTCAAGTGGGAGAACAACCCTCAGAGATCCTCATTCATTCAGAACTCTGTCTTACCAAGAGGACTCCTTCTGCCTTGATACAAGCAATCCATGTCCCCGGTGTCAGTGAGAACGGGTCTGCAATGCCTTTTCCAGGGATGGTGACGAAAGCTGGCTCCTTGCTCGGCAGGAAGGTGATCTCTTTGCTTTGAGCAGCACCTACCAGAAATATGAAGAACTGTTGCAGACATCTTTCTAGCAGCTAGTGTTAAGACTTTAGATAGTTCAGTTTCAAGTACTCAGTTTATATCTGAAAAAGTTTAAGATGGTTTACTGATCATGAATACTGATCAGATTTACTGCTCTTACTTTTTTTTTATTTGTATATATGCATATGTACAAAAATAGACCAGAAAGATATTGATAAGATGTTAGCAGTGGTTGCCTATGCTGGAAATGTAATTTTGTATATTTATAAAATAAGAATATTAGCTTCTGTAAGCTGTTGATGAATGTTCCTTATTTATAATATATGCTTATTATATTATAATGACAAGTTATTTTTCTTTTTTATATGAGATTTTTATTTTTATTAATGAGCATACATTCATTTTGTTATGAAAATTTGGGGCCTTCTATTTATTTTCAGGATGCAACATTTTTCCTCTGCATTAAACAAACAGAGGACCTTCTGCAGATGGCTCAGAAACAAACAAGACTTGCATGTGAGTCCAAATGAGACTTTTTCTTGAGAAGAAATGTTTGCTCCAAATCCTTGCATTCACTCTCATTCTACAGACATCTATGTGCCTGGAACTGAGTTCTGGGGACAAGGCAGTGAACACAGTCACATGGTCTTTACCCTCTAATGGTGAGGATGGGGAATTTGAGGGATAGAGATGATAAAACAAGAGAATACGGTACAGGGTGAACAGTGCTGTTTTTTGGGAAAGGAACATGTTACCCTGGGAATACATCGCTGAGCTCCTGACTCAGACTTGGGGAGAATCGCCCCAGAGGATGAGAAAGCAAACCAAAAAGTATTCTGACTATATGAGTTAACAGAGGGCAGACTGCTGATGGCATTGTCACCCAAGGGTTCTATTAGCAAGAGTTTGGAATCTGAAGACTTTGTTTACAAAGTCCAGCTGTGCACTCAGGCAATTTACTCAACCTCTCAGCTTTGTTGCCTTCTCAGTCCACAAAATTCTTATCACCCGAGGGAAGGGATGCTGGACCACTCTGTAAAACACCAGTTCTGCCTACTGGGTATTAGTTAACCAACCTCCATCCCTACAATCTTGACTGACATGACTGGGGCATGACATCATTTCTTCCCCCGCATTCCAATTCTGCTATGGATGCTGAACCCGGATGCTCACATCTTGATCCTAAATTAGATTTCATTGGGTGCCATTTTGTGTCTTTATGAGACTTCAAATGCTCCCTGGAATCTGTTTCCAAGAACAATAAAAGCCCTGGTTCTTTATAGGACACACTCCCAGGCCTTGTCCCTAGCTGTGGGTAAGGCTGTATTCTCCTCTCCTGTCCCTCTGAAGGAGAATTTGCAGATTCTTCCTGGAGTTCTGTTGGGATCTGTGCTTTACAGCCTTCATCTTAAAAATTCCTATCCTCACCCACTTCTCCTTGAACTACGTGGTTTGCTTGAAACAATGAGAGAATTAAGAGCAAGAGGCCAAGCTCCCCTAAATAACACCAAAAAGTTGATATCTGCTGTACCATGAATGAGCTATAAAATCAGCTTTGCTCAGTGAAGGTATCATGACGCATTGGATCAGCCATGGTACAAAGGTTGCTATATCATTTTTAAAGTCACAGTTAATGATAATTTAACAGAAGAAGTTAAATAATCAGGAACTTTAGAGAATGGGAAGGTAACAAAGAGCATCCAGAGAACTGTCCAACCCAACCACTTACTAGGTGTAATGTTTTCTAAGAAGGATTACCTTTGGGAAAATTGGAGAAAATAATTTTTTGATCATTTTTCTTTATTATTGAAAAGAGACTTAGAATTTTACCCACCTGACTTCACCCAAGATGGATAAATGGTTATATGGCCAGAAACAGCTTCAGTTCCAGGGTTTACGTATCTCAGAATAATGTGAAACAAGGAGAGATTTGACTTCCCCACATCCAACATCACCCTTACTTCATTCTGAAAAAGACCAAAAAGCCATGAAGCACAGAAAACAGGTTAAAAGAAATGCTAGCCAACCAATGACTTCATTCTATTTGAGTTTCACTATTGAACTTATATACAACACACACACACACACACACATTCACGCTCACTCAACAAGGACCAAGGAATTATATGGAAACAATCAAGCCTAACAATGAATTAAAATCACTTACAGTGACAGTATGCTCTCTCAGCCACTGAGATCCTCTTTTGACCTTTTTGTGATCAGGCAGACAGAGCGAAGGATTAGATGGACTAATTTAAGAAAGCCACAGTGATGAAGACAACCACCACTGGCTGGGAAAAATAAAAGGGCAGAAGAGAAGGAAAGGAAAGTGTATTATTTCATACACACCCCCATAAGAGACTACTCTAGGACCCATTTCACATCAAGAAAATATAAATGGTCACAGAAGCCAATGGTGGCTGGGGAAAGGTTAAAGACCCCAAACACATTAGTGATAAAATCTGGATGTCACTAAACTATGACTATTATGTCTTATGAAGTTTTTTTTTTTTTAATTTTTTATTGTTGGCTGTTCAAAACATTACATAGTTCTTGATATATCATATTTCACAATTTGATTCAAGTGGGTTATGAGCTCCCATTTTTACCCCATATACAGATTGCAGAATCACATCAGTTACACATCCATTGATTTACATATTGCCATACTAGTGTCTGTTGTATTCTGCTGCCTTTCCTATCCTCTACTATCCCCCCTCCCCTCCCCTCCCCTCTTCTCTCTCTACTCCCTCTACTGACATTCGTTTGTCCCCCTTATATTATTTTTCCCCTTCCCCTCACTTCCTCTCATAGAATTTACAGGGAAATGGATGGCATTAGAGCAGATTATGCTAAGTGAAGCTAGCCAATCCCTAAAAAACAAATGCCAAATGTCTTCTTTGATATAAGGAGAGTAACTAAGAACAGAGTAGGGTCGAAGAGCATGAGAAGAAGATTAACATTAAATAGGGATGAGAGGTGGGAGGGAAAGGGAGAGAGAAGGGAAAATGCATGGAAATGGAAGGAGACCCTCAGAGTTATACAAATGTCTTATGAAGTTTTATCTCAAGCCCTTATCCAAGGAGAAATGTTGGATTTTCCACCTGAAGGAGGAGCCAGTGGGTTCCCAAGCCCTAGGGCTTGCACAATACTCTGAGCATTGCAGAACTCATGCAATTTTAATTTGGAAACATAGACATGTTCAGATCCACTGTGGTCTAAGGAAAGTTCATGAAGTGTAGAAAATCTCAAATCCGGTTCTTTTGGTCTCTTTCCCAGCATCTTTGGTTCCAATGCAGGGAAAATATGTTAAGTGAGAATCTGGTGACAACAGACTGACTTAGGGTAGGATCACCAGGATACTCCAGTATCCTAGATACTGGAGCTATGGAGCTACATGTGACCCACAGTCAGGAATACCTGATGGTCCTCAGAATTTGACTGTGTGCATCTTTCAGTGTTAGTTTCAAGTTGGGAGATAAATAGTCAAAGAGGTCACTCAAGGACACTACCAATGTCCTCTGACCAAAAAGACTCAGAAAAATCTATCCTTAGAAATTCATTTATTTGGGTCAACCAAACTTTTTTTCACCTGTGAGAGGGTCTACACCTTGATTGGGCTCTTGGTCAGTCATTGACATGCTACTCTGACTTTATAGAATCCAACATTTTTTGATAATGAAATAAGATCAGAGCATTAAGGAAACTGAATTTCTGTATTTGGGGAGAATGGGAAGAAAGTGAGATGTTCTAAGGTTCTAGGTGTTATTTGGGAAAGGCAGATTGGCTGGGGGGAATTTGACCAGGCAAAAAGCAGCATTAGAATCAGGAAAACTATGAGCCTATCTCAGTTTCTCTATGGAGTATTCTAGGCCTGAATCTTCTCAGGATAAGTGTTGAGCTACCATGGTCATCAGACTTCCTCTTATTGTGAATTTCTCCACCAAGACACAGCTCAAAGGGATCAACCTCCAAGAGAAATTCTGAGGTCAAAACTACTCAATGACTCTACAGGATTTTTTGTTGTAAATATTGCATATGGGTATAAAGGTAAACAACATATAATCATCCTTACTCTAATGTAAAGAAGGATGGATAAAATAGAAAAGAATGAAGCAAAGGAGAAGTAAGGGAAAGAATAATTAAATAGCACTAACTAAAACTCATCATTTATTTTTAGTTTCGATTCCCAGGGTAATTTGTAGTTTAAAAACAATCAATAAAAAATTAGTGACACTAACTGTGTTAGAATTATTTAAACTCACTTATTTTATTTTCACACAATGGCTCTAAAGAAAATGTCCCTTGTGTGATAATACAGCTAATGTCATTTTAGAAACTTCCTTCTTCTTGTGAAAAGTGTCCAGAGATGATCACCATTTTTCTTTCATTTCTTCATTTTCTGATTGGTGACCAAATGAAAGTAGCAATGACCTATGGAATCAGCTAAAACCTCACCTTACCCCAAACCCTAAGCCTAACCTTAATTGAGACTCCAACCCAGCCTCTGGAGAAAAAGAATCCTGGAATCCACAGCACTTTCAATGGCCCCTGGAGAGTATTGCCACCCTGCCATGAAGCTGTGGCCTACTGGCTGCCTACCTGGACTGAGGTCATCTGGGCATATCCTCTCCAGCTAAACCCAGGAAATGCCAGGGGATCAAATCCAAACCGGAGGTCTCTTCCATTAGGTGCAGTGCCATCCTCAATCTCATACTTCATATGATGCAAATTTGGAAAATAGTAGTTATTTTCAGGCCTTTTAAAGGAATAAAATGTAGATACAGCAAGTTAGGTTCATTGACCATCTGAATATCCTTCACTCCAATAATTACTGCTAAATGAACTCCGCCAAGTTGACAAAGTGCATTAAATAAAGGCAAATGAGAGTGGACCCTCACTCTTTTATCTAAAATACTATTTTATTAATGAAAATATTCACATAAATATCTATGTGCCAGGCCTTGTTGCTGTGCACCATACATAGACACAGTGGTGAACAGGATATAAAATGTTTCACATGCTAGTTTACAAGTCAAAGAAGTTTCTCTATGTACACTTTTGATCATTAGAATGAATTTTCTGATTGTTTTTTCTGAAACTATATTACAAGTAATGAGAATCTTGCATGACATCATCATATGGGTGGTGCTGATTAATTAAGGGTTTCCTTTAAAGAGTCCTGTTGTGACAGACACAGAGGAGGATCAAAAATATCCCAAGGCTGGCTTGGGGCTCAGCGGTAGCACACTTGCCTTGCATGTGTGAGGCACTGGGTTCGATTCTCAGCACCACATATAAATAAATAAAGGTCTATCAACAACTAAAAAATATTTTTTAAAAAATATCAATGCTGTGTGGCACTTCATAGCCAAACTACTTGAAGTTCTTTCAAATGATAAATTTTGCCAATCCAGTCACAAGCTAATAGCAGCTAGTGGTTTTAAAGCCATAAAAACCAATTATAATTAGTCAATTAGTCAAAGGAAAAAAATAAAAAGCTCTGATCCTCTATTTTAAGTAGAATTAGAAGCACTTGCTGGGCATGGTGGTGCATGCCTGTAATCTCAGCAACTAGGAAGGCTGAGGCAGGAGGATCACAAGTTCAAGGACAATCTCAGCAATTTAGCAAAGCCCTAAGCAATTTTAGCAAGACCCTGTCTCAAAATAAAAAATAACAAAGGCTGCAGATGCAGCTCAGTGGAAGAGTAACCCCAGGCTCAATCTCCTGTTCAAAAAAAAAAAAAAGCGAGAAAGAAAGGGGGAAAAAAAAGGAATGCTTATATTTCTGAGGTGAATTTACAGAGATCCTTAAAAGTTTTCATATCCATTGACCCAATAATCTTATTTCAAGGTATCTATTCTAAAGAATGACTTTATATATACACTGTCAAAGGATTAATATTAAAATGTTTAAAACAGTGAAAACTTAGAAATGTGAATGTACAAAAAATTATGAAATAAGGATTTTATGAAATATATAACCATTAATATTTTGAGGACTATTTAATGCTAGAAGAAATATTTGTGATATTATGTGAAATTAACAGATTGATATACATATATATATAACATGAAAAAATATAGCACTAAATTTCATTCATAAACAAAATCTAGAAAACATATACTAAAAGTACTAAAAGGGATTATCTCTGGGTGGTAGAATGAAAATTTTTCTTTGCCTTTTTACTATCATAAACATTAACTGTCTACAATCAAAATTTATTATAAAAATTATTTAGAAACAAATATAATATAATGTTAATACTTTTCAAACTTACATACAAGCATAAAAATGATCAGAAAAAAATCACAAACTAACATTTGGGAGAACATAATACAAAAGGTCACAAGATTTGCCAGGCAGGAGAAAAATCGATATGCCATATACGTGGGGTTGACCACCCTTCATTTCAGTTGTCATTTACCACTATATCAAAGGACGTATTCTAAATTTCGAGGTGTGTACATATACATATGTGCATATGTGTATATGTACAAATGCAAAATGTGAAAAATATATGCTAAAATGCAAAAGGTTGATTTTTTTCCCTGTGGGTGGGTAATTCAATTTTTATTTGGTTTCATTATATTATCCTGAAAATTAGCCAATCACCTACATAGATGGAAGAAGAAAAAAACATTTGCTAGAGTAGGGAAAAACTCATTTTGTAAACATAAGGGTAAAAAGGAGCAAAACAGAACACATTTAAATTACAAAACTTCACAAATCGCTTCTGGTCCTTCACATGCCCCACTGGCTTCAGGAAAACAAATTTACAGATGTATTCTTTCTCCTGGACCTTCTACAAGGCCCAGGGGAGAGAGCCAACTAGGAAGACTGAAAAAGCACAGCGTGGTGACCCTGACCTTTAGAATCCAAGGGTTGAAAACAATGAGATACAAATACTAGATACAAATCACTGTAACTACATACAAGATTTTTAAAATTAATCTGTCCATGGTGCAATTAGTGAAGAAGGTGTCTGGTTTTCTGTGCAATTCCCAAAGTTTCCAGCACATGATTAAAAGTCAGAATGTTTACACTTAAATTTTCCCTCCCTCCACTGAGAAATGATTACAAATGGATCATGTTATATATATATATATATATATATATATATATATATATATATATATATATATAAAAAACATTTTATATTTGTGTGTGTGTGCATGCATGTGTGTGTGTGTGTATCATCTATAAACAGCAGATGGGGTGACAATAAGCTGCTACTTGTAGGCCCCCACTGGGTCTCAATCTCCATGTTGCTTTGCTGCTCTTAGTTCATTTTAATTTACTTCTGCATGAGATGAAGCCCTCTTCCCCACTCTGGAATTTTTCTTACCCTCTGGTTGTGACATACCTGATCTCGCCACTCACTCCCTAATGACTCTGAGGGAGCAGCAGAAACTAAATGCCAGTGGTCCAGGAACCCGGGCATGTGCCATCTGCCCCTTATTCCCTCTCTCTCTCAAGAACTGGAGCTGGCTCTCTGCTTGGCTCCTCCATGCTATGACTTGTCCATAGGGGTTCACCCAGGTGAACGTACCCCATGCTTCCAGCTTCCTCATGCCCCCCTGTCCTTCTGCACCTGTCCACTTCGAATCTGGAAACTCTGTCATGCAGGTGCTCCCTGGCTTACAAAATGGAACAGGTTTTATGGGCATCATTGTCTCCTATTTTACTTAACTCATAGACAAATATCCAGATTTTGAATTATATTGTACAGCTTCTTCATCTGCTGTTGATTTCTAGGACTCCTTCGCTCTTCGCTGGAGTGGCAGTACAGATGGAGAGGTCTTAGCTTCCCATCACATGAACACAGGAGGAAACCTCTGGAAGACTCACCTCTGGCACGCCTTCCCTACCACATGCTCTCGGCATTGGCATGCTCCAGAGTGCCCACTGCACACAGATGTGAGTGCCCCGCCAATGTCACACTGACACCCTGGAAGTCAGGAAACAGCTGTGGTTACCCACCATACCATCCCCATACTGAACACTTCCCTCCCTCTACAAGAAAGGAACACTAAAAATCTCAGGGTTACAGCACCACCTCTCTTCCAATCACACCTTGTATCTGGCAGGGGTTTGAAATAGGCAGGAGTCTTCCTAGTGGCAATGGCCTGTCCCTCCAAAAGTCCCGCTTCTAAGTTGGAGATGCATGACCCCAGGCCAGTTGGAACACAGATGCCCAATGTGAAGCTAGCGATAGACCAAGAGCTGAACTAGATTTGGAAACAGTACTGTTGTAAATAAGGTATAAACTAAGAAGGGGCCACGTGTTGCTGTGATTTCGTTATTTAATACAACCCTATCTCCAAAAGTCTGGCTTTTCTGATAATACAAAGTACAGTTTTAAAGTCACTAAGTCTTGATGTTTTTTATAACATTAACAGATATCTTCCCATTCCAGGTATATTTCTTTTAATAGTGTACGATAGAAGAGAAGTGGAAACAGCCCCATTTGCAATTTATGACTAGTATCAACCAAATATTTGGCCCAATGCCCCAGAGTATTTAAGCACATCCCAGAAAATCAGCCTGAAGACAGCGAACACAGGAGAAAGGTTATTCTGACAATCTGTGTCCTTCGACGCTTTGCTCTGCTCAGGACACCCTGGATGTAGGTACTACCTTGACATCCAAAGTAATTTCTCTTTTCCAAAGCGAAATATCCGTCTTCACAAGTATCACAGGCATCGCCGCTCACAAGGACCTTGCAGTGACAGTCACCGTCTCCCTGTAGAACAATGAGCCAGATGATAAAATTTGATACCGTTAACAGAATTCATCTTCAAGATTGAAAACTGGCTAGTTGTATAATAGGCACGCCTGGAGAAGTACTAACACGCTCCCCAGGAACTCCTCAATCAATTGCTCCACATCCCATTGGTCTATGAAAACTGGCCCGCATTACCTGCCCACATTACCTGCCCACACTCTCCAACTCCACTCACTGTTCCTGCCTCATGGCACTGGCACTCTGTGGAGATAAGAAAGTGTCCTGAAACCAAGGGTCACTCAAAAGACAGCTCCCTGGCTCTGGGCACATTTCACTTCTGCAATACAACACTTTCAGGTAGACTTTCCTGCACCCTTCAGCATCGATACCAATTGCACTGTGAGGCCTAAAATTGGATGGCTTTCTGAGGCTAGCAGAACAGACCAACAAACATGATCCATCTAGGAAGATGGTTAGTTTATGGCTATTCCAAGACAAAACTGCAACATCATGGAATTTGAATGTCAAGGTCATTGTTGATGTACTTGCATGAAAATGTACTCTATTTAAAGACACTTCAGCTGGTGCAGTGGTGCACACCTGTAATTCCCAGTTACTGTGGAGGCTGGAGCAGGAGGATCATAAATTCAAAGCCAGCCAGGGTAACATAGGGAGACCCCATCTCAAAAAAAGATATACAGCCCGGTGTGGTGGCACACGCCCGTAACCCCAGTAGCTTGGGACGCTGAGACAGGATCGCAAGTTCAAAGCCAGCCTCAGCAATTTAGTGAAGCCCTAAGCAACTTAGTGAGACCCTGTGACCCTGTCTCAGAATAAAAAATGTGTTAAAGGGCTGGGGATGTAGCTCAGCGATGAAGTGCCCCAGGTTCACTCCCCAGCACCAAAAAAAAAAAAAAAAAAAAAACAGAGAGAAAGATTCAGGGCTGAGGACGTAGCTTGTGGTAATGCACTTGCCTAACAGATGTGAGGCCCTAGGTTAGATCCCTAACACTATAAAAAATAAAAAGAGAGAAATTTGCCTAATTTAGTACATTTAACCTGCTATGTTCAACTTGTTATCCTGGTTTCAATACATGTATAAAATTATAATAAAATTAAGCCAGAAAGAGTGAATCATAGAAACAAAGAGGTAAAAAAATATTTATCAAGAAATTGCTGTTACAGACAATAAAACACATATGGAAACAGGATGAAAATCCCTCGCTGAGATTTTTGAAAATGACAGAAATTCTGCCAAAAGTGTCAGGGGAAGACATCAAACACTGCACAGTAGGGGTGCATAGGTGAATAATAAATCTATAAATCAGAACAAGGCACCGAATAACACACACACAAAATTACACAGGATTTTGGACAAATCAAATTGCTTCAATAAATGGCTTTTTGTGAGTTTATTTATTGAAACAGAGAAAATTAAGAGGAAGTTACAAAATAGGAAGTGATGGTGTATAAATACTTTACCTGAACATCCACTGGGATTTTCTCTGGCCAGATTCCAATATAATGGTTTGCAGATACTACAAGTAGGACTTTCCACATGAAGCTTGCATTGGCAATACCCCTTAAAATGCAAATCAAACTAACATTTGACATCTTGGAATTAAGACCTGTTTTTAAAACAGTGTTCTGGGTAAAGGCTTGTCACAGAAATACAATATGGCCATGAAAAGTAAATTGAGTGTTTCCAGGGGGAACAACAGCACTGGACTAATTTCAACAGTCTAATTGCTTTTTGTAAAGTTCATTTACTTGTTACACATATAATCCACATTTGCTATTAAAAAGAAATAGGGAAAGTACAGAGAGAAAAAAAATAAATGTCTTTCTTATAATATTCCCAGTGTCTGTTGATGCTGTTACCGTGTGGAATACAAGTTTACATGGAAACAAATCTGAATACGCATGATGCTTGGAATCAGTAAAGAATGGTATTTTACTAAGAACGTTTTTATAATATGTAAGATTCACTGCCTGGGGCTGGAGTTGTGGCTCAGTGGCAGAGCACTTGCCTCACACGTGTGAGGCACTGAGTTCAATCCTCAGCACCACATAAATAAATAAACAAAGTAAAGATATTGTGTCCAAGTATAATTATATATAACTATTATAACTATAACTATAACCATATATATATATATATATATATATATATATATATATATATATATATATATATATATATATAAAGATTCACTACCTGGCTTTAATACTGTCAAGCCTCATAATAAGAACGGCAAAGCATCTGTCCCTCTGTCCATCTAGTGCCTGAAATCACATCTCTAGGCCATGAGACCAAGAAGAGAGGTCATTTCTAAAGACCCTAGAAAACTTCAGAACACCACACTATGTGCTTAGAATAATAAAAAAAGAAATGGGGATTGCTTTGTGTACAGCCCATTTTATTTAATTTGTCCTTGGCTACTGAAGGAGCCTTGGCAGGACTCCATAGTGGCAACACCATCGGAGTATCTTACAGTAAAGGTTAAGCCCGAAGACTCCAGAATAAAAAATTTAATTAAACCATATTTGTTATTGGAGGAAAAAAAAACACAAAATCATAGGCATTTTGAAAGAAAAAAAAAAAACACAGACCTCTTTAAGCAACGTGTGCCTTATTTCAATTTACTTTTAATTTCAGGAAGCTCCCACACGGTTAGTCTTGAGTAAGATTCAGAACAATAAGAGCTGCCAACTTTATACACATCCCCTACTTACCAAGCTGGAGTCGATGGTACCAGCTGGGTCACAAGCACCACTGGAACCTGTATATGATTTAGAGATGTTTTAAAAGTCTGACAGTTAATGGTTTCCATGTTTCAAGTTTTAAAAGTTCTGCTTCTTTTTAAAAATGGCACACCTGTATGTATGTTTTGATAAGTGCAAGGCAAAGGGAGTCTTCCTGAATAATCCTTCATGATCCTTAATCCCAAAGTGCCCTCTTTGTCACGGAACAACTCTATTCCTTGTCCACTAACAAAATTTCATTGCTACTTGATGAAACAAATTGAGGGGAATAAAATTTTAAGCACGTTTACAATCGTCCAGAAGAGGGCAATATTATACCAAGAGATGGTCACTTGTTACAGGATTTATTTATAAGTCTGTCCTTGAGTTAACCAAGCGTTAATTCTTCAATTATCAAGCCCCCTTGTTTCCCACCTGCATTAAAGTTCTTTTAAAAATTTGTTCTACTTAGTTATTTATGACAGTAGAATGTATTTTGACACATCATACATAAATGAAGTAAAACTTCTCACTCTTCTGGTTGTACATGAGGAGGAATTACACGGGTCATGTAGTCACATGTACATGTAGGGTAATAATGTCCGATTCATTCTACGATCCTTCCTACCCCCACGCCCCCTCCCCTAAAGTTCTTTATAAAATCAGTTAGTGTTCCTGCCCCCATCATCAGAGCATTAGGGGCCTGATAAAATCTTTCTTCAATCAAGCGCTTGGCATGTCTCGGAGAGCTGTAAACAGGTTGGGTTCAGCCTATTCCGAGCCTGGTTTTTAAATCATTTAAACAAATCCATGATGAAAACATGTTTCCTTATAAATTGTCCCTTAGCTTTCTGTTTTCGTTTCCTCTTTGCCTCTGCCTCAGCTTCTCCTTGATCTCTCCCTCCTTCTCTCTCTCTCCTTCTCTCTCTGTTCTGCTCTTCTCTGTTTCTCTAACAGCATGACTTTCTCCTCTTGCTGTTCACCCTGGCCCCTCCTGGCCTTGAGTGCCTCGCTAGGACCGGGGCTGCTGCCTAGTACCGGGATGGCTGGGGCTGCTCCGCTTCTCTGCTGCAATTTCTCCCACTCCTGATGTCCACGCAGGCACATCCTACTCTAGGATTCCCTTACCTTCCAGGGACCCTCGGGCCTTCCCAGGCGAGAGCAGCCCCTCTGGCTGGTACCTGAAATTTCCACTGTCAGGAAAACCTGGTCTTGAGGATTCTGGTGAGGAAGGTTCTGGGCAATGAAGTCTGTGCTACAGCCTGCACCAGTAGGCTCTAGGCACCACGGCTCCAAGTGGTTATGAAGAGCACAAAGGGATCCGAGGAAACCACGTTCTTCTGGTGGGAAATCTGGGTCTCCTGGGTCAGCCTCACAAGTCTCTCTCTCTCTCTCTCTTTTTCCCAGTACTAAGGATTTAACCCAAGGGTGCTTTGCTGCTGAGCTACATTCCTAGCCCATTTTTGTTTGTTTTGTTTTAAATTTTGAAACAGGGTCTCACAAAGCTGCTGAGGGCTTCACTTAGTTGCTGAGGCTGGCCTTGAACTTGCCATCCTCCTGCCTCAGCCTCCTGAGTCATTGGGATTATTGGCGTGTGCCAGTATACCTGGCACAAGTCCCTCTTTTAACAGAGCAAGAGACCTTTGAAATCACCAGGAGCTCCTGGCCCACACTGGAGGCTCCCTGCACCAGGGAGCTTGGGAAGGACACAGGCAACTCATTTCTGCCCCCCTGCCACATATCACTCCCAACTCACTTTCATTCTCAGGTTTCCATCTGCTCCTTGGCTCACTCTTTCCTGACTGCATGGGCTTCAGTGCACCCCAGGTCCCTCCCCTCGTGCCAGTGCTGAAGTGTGATGACAGTCCCTCAGGGGATCAGAGGCAGGAAAGGAGCAAGGGCAGAAGCACAGCCCAGGCCTCACCCAGCCCTCAGCAAGGGGCCTGGTGGAAAGACCCCAGTGCCTCCCATCAGTGCTGAGAGCCAGTAAGGACAGCAGGCCTTACTCTGCCTGGGCACAGGGGCCAAGATCGCTAGGTTAAGCTCAAAGAAGTTGCTTTTGCCACACTGTTATACACAGAGAACTGACATGTAATTTAAAAACCCAGATATATATTACATGAGAATTAATTTTTTTTTAGTTAGAAACAAACAATCCTTTGTGAATAATGATGCTTATGTGAATATGTGAGATATGTGTTTTCAATGGACTTGAACTGGGGCAGATAGAGTCAAATGTGTCGGGGTGACCCTGGATGGTTGCAGCTTCTCTGGGAGGGTGGCTTCACACACAGAGAGGAACCGACTCTCCAGCATTCTGCTGGCTTCTCTACCTTGGCAGTAGGGGAAGTCATAGGCTCCTGAGAGACATCTGTCACACCGCTGTCCCGTTATCCCTGGCAAGCATTCACACTGTCCAGTCACCGGGTGGCAAGGCGTTGGGTAGGATCCAAGGGCTGAGCACTGGCAGGCTGGGGGAAAAGAAATCAGTCAGACTCAGAGCCTGGGCTGTGGAAGGGGCTGTCTCTCCTCTGACCTTCTCCTCTGAACTTTTTTAGTCAGAGGATTTCACAGCATCCCGGATCAGACCCCTGGAGTGGGGCCACAAAGACCCAAATGCAAGTTCCAGCTCCATCTCTTATTAGACCTAGAACCTGGAACTATCTGCTCAACTGATATAAACCTCAGTTTCCCTTCCCATAAATACGACTGACACTAGCATCTACTTGATAAGATTGTTGTAAGTATTAATGAATACTAGAAAGAGCTGGGATACCTACTATTACAGTAGCCACTCAGGAAACACTAGATTCTATTGTTATAACTTTGTATTCAGCCAGATTGGCTGGTGACTGGTGAGGGTTTGGGGGATGCTTCTCACACACAGCAATGGTGTTCATAAGAGAAGAATGACAGGGACAGCTGATGGAAGATGTGACTCATTGAAGGATCCACTCCAACTCTATACTCTACTGGGAATTGAGTGCAAACCACTCCAACCCAGATCAGCCTGTAACTGAACCCCTGTTTTCCTTTGTCCTCCTCTCTTCATATCTATTTTCTCAAGGTCTAGTGGAGTTAAATAATCAAGGAAAAATGTTACCCAGCAGGAGTTGGAATGGATGGAAAAGGCATTCCAGTATCCTTTGCCCAGCCTCAATCTGTTACCATCATCTTTGGCAAAGGGGGTGAATACACACTTGTAGGTGGAGAGAAGAGATTCTGGCCACTCTCCTCTTGGCTCCTTTCCCACTGAACCCTGCAGGGCTGGAGTTGTTGAGTGTTACTCCCATTAGAACTGTGAGCACCCTGCTCCTGGATTGGTATGCACAGAGGATACAACCCAGCTAACTTCTTCAGCCAGAGGGTCTCACATCTTAAGAATAAAAGGAACTGGAAAGATCATCACATTGTATTTCACCACAACATGGTGAATATCAGAAGTTAAGTGGCACTCTCAGAGTCACCAAAGTATTCTGTAGCAAAGGGCTTCTACCTCTGGGGTGAGACACATCTGGATCCAAATACCAGCTGTGCCACTTGTTATGCTTTAGATGTGGTGTCCCCAAAAAACTCACATGTGAGACAATGCAAGAAGATGTGGAGGATAAATGATTATTTGTAGGTGGAGAGAAGAGATGTTATATTCATTATGATTGGGTTATAGCTTTAACCTAATCAATGAATTAATCCCTGATGGGATTAACTGGATGGTGGCTAGAGGCAGGTGGGGTGTGGCTAGAGGAAGTGGTTCATTGGGGGCATGGCTATGGGGTATATATTTTGTATCTGGAGGGTGGAGTCTCTTTCTCTGTCTGCTTTCTGATCACCATGTGAGCTGCTTCCCTCTGCCACACTCTCCTGCCATGATGTCCTGCCTCACTTCGAGCCCCAAGGAATGGAGCCAGCCTTGTATGGACTGAGACCTCTGAAACCATGAGCCCTCAAATAAGCTTTTCTTCCTTTAAAGTTATTCTGGTCAGATCTTATAGTCACAACAGCAAAAAAGGTGACTTAAGCACCACTTAATAGCTGTACAGTCATTAGCAAGTTATTTAGTCTTTTAAAGCCTCAGTTTCCTCTCCTGTAAACTGATATAGAACCTACCTGATGAGGTCATTAAAGAATCATCAGAAATGAGGCACAAGAAGCCCTGAGCATGATGTTTGGCAAAGAAGAAGTACCCAGTGTTTGTTCTTACTGATGTTGCTCTAAATAACAAACTCCCCCAGTGCGTGGGGGGATGTTCCTTACACTATTCCACATTGAATTAATGGCAGTCAATGAATAAGTATTCCTGACATCCAAATGTATGAACAGAACATGCAGTTTAAAAACAACAACAACCACCTTTTTGCCAGTTCTCAAGAATTCCATACTAATTGAGACTTTGGGAAAGAAAAGAACTATACAGTAAAGTCTCACTTCTGATGTTTTATTTATAGGTACCCTTGGGATGTGAAAAGTCCCACATGACTAAGCCTTGGAGCACTGCGCCCTTTGTGGGGACAAGACCATGCTGTTTTCATTGTTTGACAGGACTGTATGTGGTGATTTACCCTGAAAGTGCTTTTTAGTAATAATAATAATAATGAAAAACAGAGTTTGCCCTTATTTTCATTGGAATCATAAAATAAAATCTCACTAATGGAGGGGAACGGAGCTAGTTTTATCCTCTACAAATTACCTGAGAACTCTACAGGCTGTATGATTTGTTCAGAGCTACATGATTAGTGGCAGATTCAGGGAATTCACCACCATCCCACCCTATTTCATACCCATCAAGCCAGCAGGTATTGATTGGCAACCTACTACATTTGATGACATCATGGCAGGTGCTATGGTGGAGGTAAATACAAATATTTCCCTGATCTCAAAGAGCTGGAGAATTACTGACATAGTATGAAGTGCCCGACCCCACGAGAAACTAAATGTGAGAAACATGCCGAATGCTACTCTAGCAGATGTTGAAAGACAGCAGGACAAGGACTGTTATTTCCTGCTGCCATCCCTGTAAGTGTCCTCTCATAACACTGTGGCCCCACCAAGCCTGTCTGCAGATATTAAGCCCCTACCTAGTGGCAGGTTTCTGAGCAAATGCTCTTGGACTCTGTGCTGGTTAAATTCTATGAGTCACCTTGACTAGGTAGGCTGTGGTTGGTACCTAGATGTTTGATCAAACACTAGTCTAGAGGTGCCACGAAGATATTTTTTAAATGAATTAATTAACATTTAAATCAGTAGGTTCTTGAGTAAAGCAAACTATATTCCATAATGCAGGTGGGCCTTATACAATCAATTGAAGGCCTTAAGAAAAAAAAGATTGATGAACCTCAAAAAGCAATTCTGCCTTACATACAGCCTTCAGACTTGAGTTGCAAAATGAACTCTTCCCTGCGCGCCTCCCCTGCAGATTTTGAACTTATGAAGCCCCACAGTTGTGTGAGCCAAGTCTTGAAATCGATCAACTCTCCACCCCACACACATACCCCAATTGGTTCTGTCTCTTTAGAAAACAGATTTTTGGCATTAAGAAGAATGTTTCTAGAGGAACAGAATCTTAAGAATGAGTTCTCTGAGTTGGTTTGGGGGTTTCTAGAATTAGTTTTCTAATATGATTAGATTTAGAGGCACTGATGGCTTTCTTTTGGGCAGTGGCAAGAGGACTGGAAGTCCGTGACTTGATGTGGCAATAGAGATACATACAAATATCATTATCACATACTCCTAATCAAAGCTTATAGGAGGCAAGTTTATAGGAGGCAAGTTTCTGAGTGACTATGTATTTGCTTACTTGGAACATTTTTGTCAAACTAATGAGTATAATGAAGTTGGCTAGTTGTTCCTAATTTTACTGCACAAAGTTCAGAAAGAAAAGGGAAGGAGTTCTAGAATTGGAATGTTTGGATAGGGCAGAGTATAAATGACTTGAAATTTTCTGTGTCTTTCCCAGAAGAAGCCCTTACTTATCTCTTCTAGCCTCAGGGCTGAGACTGCTGAAAACCAAACCCAGAGTTTTCACCTTGTGAGTGGCTGAATCACAAGGCCAATCAAATTGCCAATGTTGCAGAAATGTGCCATTAAAAATGGCACAATTGAAAAGGAATGGGATTCTGAAAAATTGGTTTGGAGACATATGGGAAGATCATGATGAAGAGAGGACCCCAAACCCCCAAATTCTATGAGTGTTGTTTGCCAGTAGAAGCAGTCACTCCATTAGTGTCTGAGTGCATCTGCTTTCCCTATAAAAAGTAATCTGTACACGTGGGAAAAATAAGAATTCATACCCCATTTGAATCAAATGTATGATATATGATATGTCAAGATCATTGTAATGTTTTGAGCAACCAATTAAAAAAATTATTAAGGAATATGGCAAACTATGAAATTTGTGTTGAATTTTATTAAGTGCCTTTTCACTATCCATCGTTGTTATTTCTCTGGGCTTATTGTTTTGATTTATGATGTTAATAAAAGTCCCAATAATAAATCATTGCTGCATTGTTAAAAAAAAAAAGTATAGTTTTCTTGAGATCATTGACTTGCAAGACACTGAGGGCTTTCCTCTTGACCTGCCCTGCCACCTCTCTTTCCTTCTAGACTGATAACAAGATTCAATCCCAGCAAGTGCTGCATGGGAGGTACAAAGTGTGACCCATAATGAGGCGTGCTATACTCCAAAACGATTTGTGATTTTTCAAGTTTAAACAGACATATGGCCGGGCATGGTGGCACACGCTAATAATCCAGAGGCTCTGGACGCTGAGGCAGGAGGATCACAAATTCAAAGCCAGCTTTAGCAACGGCAAAGCGCTAAGCAACTCACTGAGATCCTGTCTCTACATAAAAATACAAACTAGGGCTGGGGGTGCGGCTCAGTGGTTGAGTGCCCCTGAGTTCAATCCCTGGTACACCCCTTGCCCACCAAAAACCAGACATATGAGGAATATGTGTGAAATAGGTACTAAGGGTGTAGGAGCTGTTACTATTGAATTGGAAAACTTAAATACAATGGGGACCCTGGAGTAGCAGGGCCAAATGGTAGCACCTAACCACCAAAAGCAAGATGGGCATAACTAGTGGACAACACAGTCAAAACAGCAAATCAGTATCGCCTGACCCACAGTGTTGGAGGGTGCTGGCTAGTTAATCATGGTGTTCCTAGACGTGAAATTGATAGGAAGTCATTTAGAGTCTTAATCTGTGTAAATGGAATAGTTCTAGGTCAAGTAGAAGTCTAACTTGTAACATAAAAACAGAGAGTCATGCCTCCTCAATCAGTTCCTAGATTTGACCCAGTTTCCAGATTCAGACTCCTTGAATAAAGGAGAGGCTGAGGCCCTTTGAGGAAGGACTTTTCTACATTATCAAAAATTTAATTTGTTAACCTATCTCCCAGTCTTCCTCAATGGGACTATGACCTTTTGCCAGGGTGAGTGTGCATTGAGGAAAAGGAAATATTCATAACTTT